AGAAGTGTTCAGCAATAAATTATAACAATTGAGTTACTGACAATTATAAATTCATGTCTATAACAGTATGATTACGTTTTCAGTGAACTTTTATCGTCGGCGCCGACGGCGCGATATGTTGCGAGACTGGAGGTAGCAGCTTTTTACACGCGATTTCAGGAAATTGCCCGTGAACAGTAAATTTTTACCCGCGGTTTTATAAAACAGCCTGGACGACGATAAATTTTACCCGCGGTTTTCGAAAATCGCACTTGAATAGCCTATTTTTACCCGCGGTTTTCGGAAAAATCTGCCCAGTATTCCATACCGGACAGCCTGCACATAGAAGTTGGAACGCAAATTCTGAATAACCACATACAATAAATACTAAAACAACAATAGATTTCAAATAACAGATAAGAAACGGAGAATTACTATTTATCACAAATTTCCAGTTTTTCTACAACAGCGCAAAGAAAAAATTTAATGAATGACGCCACTTGCGGTCAAGGAAAAGGCAACAATTTGACAACTCGTTCAATTTAACTCTTACCTCGATATCAACTCTACAGACTCTAAGTTGAACCGAAACTTTGCGTTGAAACTTTTTAAAAATCATTAACTGACTACAAATTGAGTCAACAAACGTACAACGCAACGTTTTGTTATTGTTTTGAAGTTGCACAGGGAAAATGAAACACACATCCTCACTCGGCGATGACAACGGTAACACTGAAAAAGTCCCGGATCAAACTCGCTCTGAATCATTCGACGTAGAAGAAAATTAGCAACATAATCTTGCAAACTGTAAATTATTGAAAGCTAATTTGTAAAACATGGCATGTTTTGACCCGAAGCTCATCATACTGAATTTAGTTGAAATTTATAAGGCACAAACAAATCATTGAATTATTTACGAAATTTTTAATGGATCAACGACTTCCTCATAGTGATCTCATATTAACATGAGTATTTGCATAGCAGCAGGCATATGACGTTGAGAAACACCGAATCGACACTTTATCGATACGCTGCCGCAGGAATTATTACAGATTTTTACATGAATTATTTTTTAATTAAAACCAATAAACGTATTTTTTAAGCAACTGGGACACTCATAATTCCTTCAATACCTAACGGATCTGCATGAATTTTGGAATTTGAGTATTAATTATCGATACGCTGCCGCATGAATTATTACAGATTTTTACATGACTTATTATTAGGTTAGGTTAGGTTAGGTAAGGTTAGATTAAGTTAGGTTAGGTTAGGTTAGAAAATATATCATGCAAAAATCTGTAATAGTTCCTGCGGCAGCGTATCGATAATTAATGCTCACATTCCAAAATTCATGCAGATCCGTTATGTATTGAAGGAATTATGAGTGTCCCAGTTACTTAAAAAATACGTTTATAGGTTTCATATTAAAAGTAATTCATGTAAAAATCTGTAATAATTTCTGCGGCAGCGTATCTATAATTAATACTCACATTCCAAAATTCATGCAGATCCGTTAAGTATTGAAGGAATTATGAGTGTCCCAGTTGCTTAAAAAATACGTTTATTGGTTTTAATCAAAAAATAATTTCTGTAAAAATCTGTAATAATTCCTGTGGTAGCGTATCGATAATTATAATTAATACTCACATTCCAAAATTCATGCAGATCCGTTAAGTATTGAAGGAATTATGAGTGTCCAAGTTGCTTAAAAAATACGTTTATTGGTTTTAATTAAAAAATAAGTTATGTAAAAATCTGTAATAATTCCTGCGGAAGCGTATCGTTAATTAATACTCACATTCCAAAATTCACACAGATCCGTTAAGTATTTAGGGAATTAGGAGTGTCCCAGTTGCGCGAGTTCGCAGGCGAGTCCGTAGAATTGTCGATTGTGTGATCTCCAGCGCCCGCCTTCAAGAGTTTGGCTCAACTGACACGGAAGCGTGTGAGTGACCAATTTAAGGGTAATCTATCGCTTTTTGGTACAATAACTTTTCAATTTATGGTGGTGCTACTCTGATGAGATTTAAAAGTTCATGTATACCCGTTAGTTTCAATAGAATTAGTTATGAGCATTGTACTAGATCTCACATCAAACTTTGAAAACGAGTATACAGTGGGGGGAAATAAATATTCGTACACTTGAAAAATCGTATTTTAATGTATGTAAGTACACAAACTTAACAGGAAAAGTGATTTAAATTATGTATAGAGACGCATAGTATTCAAAAATACTATCAAAAGAAATTAAATCTCAATGCAACAAAAAACAATGCAACATGTTCACTTTT